TATAAATATAATTACGTATATATTGATATATATAAAACAATAGATTAGGAGTATTACAATAAATAATTAAAACAAAAAAAAAATTGGAACATCGGAATCCCGATCGTGGGCTTCCTGCACAGGAGCGCGGCATTCATTCACTGCTCTACGGATAGATACATAAGACGTCTTCGCTTTATAGCTTATAACAACAACTCTCAAAAATCGTAACTTTAAAAAATTAATAACTCCCTTTAGAAGGGCCATTCGATCAAAAGCTCTGGGGGAACTTACTTATATTCAATATAGATTCACCATAAAAAAATTCATCAAAATTGGTGAAGAGTCAACTGCGATGTCTCCTTGTCAGTATTAAAAGTGTTTAATTTCTCACCTTATAACTTCCTGGAATTTGTCGCAACTTTATATTTGTTTAGAATGTGTTACGAGTCCTGAATTATCTCACACAGATTTTGTGTCATTCTGCGCACATAATCGTATTCCTTATTTTTTTAAGTGAAGGTTAGATTTATCACGAGTGCAGAATACAAAGAAGTAAACGTAGTTAGGTTATATAATGATAATATGTATCACTATTGACTCTTAAGCGAAGAGTAAAGATGAGTAAGGAAAGCCGCGTTGGGGAAATTATTTAATATCTTTTATATTGCTGCCCAAAAAATTGTTGCCTTATATATCTTGGCTAATAAAAAATTACCTTAATAATCTTGCCAACAATGGTATAATCCCACATTTCATCATAACTAAAACATTCTTTCTACTAGTACTAACAGTCCATAAAGCTCTCATAGCCGATATAGCTGTATTGACCATTTCTTTTTCATCTACATCTAAATCGTCCCACTTTGTAATTAGATAAGCTTCATTAATATCGAGTAAATCAACAAGCTTCGGGATCCCATCGAATTTTCGTACATGTTTTCTGGCTTTTCGAACTTGCGCTACGTTGAAAATGGTCTCGCTAACTAAAATTTGTAAATCTCTTGCCGGTAGTCCTAAATTGCTAACCAGTAAAGCTATGCCGCCTAAATCGGCAATGCTTCGACGAATTTCTAAATTTAGTGATAATTCGGTTAGTACACTTAAAGCTCCCAGTTTGCACTTTATATCGGCCGTCTCTAAAAGATTTACTAAAACTTCTAAACCACCTATGTCCTAAAACAATACTTATTTAAATATAATGGTTACATATAATGGTTAAATTAACATTATTTATTACCATAATAGCCATTTGATTTATTTCATTAGATAGGTCATGATCTTTTAGGCAGCATAAAGCAACAACCGTTGCCGTTTGATTTCCCGACTTCATATATTTCACTAATTTTTGTATGTGCCAATATTCTGGTGGTATATCAGGTCGAGCTAATGGTACTCTATCTTCAGAATCTGATGAACTTTGGTTTTAAAACATTGTATTATTTAAAATGTATTTTAAATTATTATAGATGTGTTTAGGGTAAAATCATGCAATTATAATCCCAACATAGATAGGATGAGTGAGAATCTACAATCTACGCAGTATCTATGCAATTGCAATATTTCTGTATATAAACTTTCCTTAATCTGCAGCATCTTATATACCCAAACACTATGATCAGTGTTTCTTCATACTTAAAACATTTCTTTGCATTAAACAGATAATGCCATGATAAAGTTGTGAAAGCAGAATTTAGCAGCTTTACTTTCCTATCTCGTTGTCAGAAGCGAGTTGAAATTTTCAAGTGATATAAGAATGCCTGCTTAATCGTAGAAACATTATGTATTATGCCGGTACATAAGACCAGATATTAAAATGTCTGGTATAAATAGAACTTGGTGTTTATGAATCGACAGAATCATCAGACTTTTCGTACATGTTTCTTTAGAGGTTCTTTGTACATGACTTATTACTTTCTAAATTGGTTGCAGATCTCATTTTCAATCAAAATATATTTAATAAAATGTGTATATAAATGAAACGAACCACATAAAGTTGTACACAAAGGTTAAGAAATGCTGAATCATATTTTAGCATTTACGATCTCCTATTCTAGTTATTTTTATGTTCAGTGATTTTGATCATCCTTAGGAAGAGCATCTTATAAGAATAATAGTTGAAAAAATATTTAAAATTAAATTGTGAATTAATTAATAGAACATTTTATCCGCTGTTGTTTAGGTATATAAGATGCACACACAATATAAAGTAAAAATTCCTAATTAAAAATAGATTAAAAACGAATTAATTTTAAACATAACATCCGCTGAGTAACTGTTATTTCAGTATCCTGTGGATAATGTAATTGAATTGCAGGTATAAACAATGAGTTATTTCCTTAGAGAAAAATAGTTATAAAAATAATGTTCTGAATTATATTTGTACGATTTTACAATAAAAAAATATGGTATAAATTTACCCCACTGAAGAATCTGGACTATCATCCATTTCCTCTATAATAACTTCTCTGGGACCCATATTTTTAACCTCAGCGATATTCGATGACGATAATTCTGCCGCCATTATATTATTATTACGATTAACACTTTTTCCTTATAAAAAGGTGAATACACCTTTCTTCCTCAATAAATCCGTATAAAAATGTATTGACAATATTTGTCTAAAATGACATAAAAAAATACAATTTCGTTCTGTAACTATTTAATAGTAAGATTTTCTAAACACGTTTTCTCAAATGCGATTTCTCATTGACAATCTTTTCTAAGAGATTAACGATTTCCTTTTTGATTTTCAGTTCAGACAAACAGTAAGAGACATTTTACAACCACATCAGAATGATCGGTACCTTTGTCGATGGCTTAGAGGTAAGAAATTTAACAAATAATCAATGTTTTTAAATTAAATTAAAAAATCGGGAATTATAATTTCGTATACTTTCCTCGTTACTTTGTTAGGTTCGTTTGCTATTATAACGACGAGGAAACCGAGAGTGAAACTTTCTAATTTTGGTCTGTTATTCCTGTTCCGTTCGATTCTTGACGGGATTTAATAGAGAAATTTCAAATTCAATGCAGATTTAATTAACTATTAAACAATATTACTGCGTGTATGATTAATTATTATTTATGTTTTATAGATAATTGTTGTATAATTTATTTTTTAGCTCGTGATTGGAATGTTCCTGCCGCTGAAAAAATGTTTAGAAACGTAAGTACTTAAATTTAAATTAACAAAATGATTTTCAAATAATTATTAAATTAAATAATTACATGCAATGTTTTTGACGTAAATAAAAGATTTAATAATACACTCAAGGTTAACGGTTTTCATGGAATTTTTAATGATCAATAAATCACCATTAAAAATTATAACTTGACCAAAGTCTCTTTATTGACACAGTTGTATTTAATTACAAATTAAAAGCACGTTTTATTCTTCTAATTGTAAGATTTTTGTTTAAAATTTAAATGATCAATTAGCCAAATAGTTTATTGACGCAAGTTTCGAAACAAAAAAAAAACTTCATCTAAACTATATTATTAATGTGTTTTGAATGAATTAAAAATAAATAAAGGCTACTGATATTCAGTGGTAATCAAATTCATTATATACAATGTCAAAGTACTCATTTGGGACAATTAAAAAATGATTAAGCAGATCGATAAACAAACCTGTAATAACCAAGACGATCACACGACTATATAATTTTTAATATTTTACAATTACTTAAAAAGTTCCACTTTCTCTGAGGCTACGTTTTCTTTTAGACCTTTTACCGAATGCCACAAATAATATTTTTAATAAATTTACTTTCTTTTTATATAAATGAAATTATTTATTGTTTCTTTTATTTATGTAATTAGTCGATGGAGTGGAGAAAACAGTGGGAAGTTGACACGACTTTAAAAACTTGGTTACCTCCAGAACCAATTGCTTCATGTTATCCCAGCGGAGTAGTTGGTTTTGATAAAGATAAACATCCAGGTAGGTCGTATTATCATAAATAATAATAATAACACAAATTTACATGCATTGAGACACAAGCAGACAAATTTTCTTTTTTGCAAAACTTAATTTAAAAATTAAAACAATAAAATTATTTTAATAAATTAACTCACTCTCTGAATTGATTAATTAAGAGATTAGCGCAGATTAAAGAGGTTATACCATTGTTTACAAAATGTACATGAGAAGTGAACTTGACCGACTTCCCGATATTGTACCCGAGGTTCATCGCTGAAATATACTAATGAACAACAATCGAAAAGAAATAAAATAACATTTCACAGAACAAAATAATGAACAAATAATTCTAAATAATGAATAAATTTAATGATTACTTTCAAAACAAGGTGTCGCCATAATTAAGTCATTACAGTTTTTGAAATAGTTAGGTTTCAATTTTAGACCCAACAAGGTATCAACTAACTGCTAAATGCTTGTCTGATTGTGAGTTTTATATAAATCAAACGACATTGTTACCATTTCATACACTCTCAAAGAATAAATACTTCATTAATACTTGATGTTGAATTACTACTAAATCATTTATATACTTCTATTCGTGTTGATTTCCTAAACACAATTACTAACTAAATTTGAAATTTCCTTAATTCAAAAGAAAACCAAAATTATGATTGTCGATCGTTCTTATGTTCTGCAACTGACGGATGCTTTACACATATTTCAAATCGTAATGCATTATATGATAATGCACCGAGGTTCATATATTGAAAACCGGTTCAAAGAAGAAAAATAGAATTGGCTATAAGTGCAATGAGTAGACTATCTAAGATCTATTGCAAAAAGTATTAAAATGGGGCTACTTCAATCACTTCTCCATCTTCTGATATGGGGTTAAAATGTGGACAATTAAAGCAGCGGACGGAAAGAGAATTGATCTTTAGAGAATTCAACATCTAGACTATCTAGCCCATCTTCTATTTGTGTTGCGAATATTCTAATGTTTTTAGACACATTACACGAAGAGGTGCTCTAGAGGTTGGTCACCAACCTGATGGATGGACCAGATTCAGAAGATTACTAGCACATCGTTTGATAACTGTGTAAATAAGACCCGAAACCTAAGTCAATGGAGAATACTGATGGCACAAGATACTAAAGGTTACGAGTCTCAGTAATGAGAGAACGACTAGAAAGATGTCATCACAAGCGCCATAAAGTTTGGAGATTTTTATTCCTTTTTTTAAACCATATTTCTGCCATTTGATAAATTTTTTTCACTACCTCTATTGTCAAGTTAATGTCTTTGAAAATTTCTGTTCTGCAAATTTCTTATTTAATTTTTCGTATTCAATAAAATGCTGTTTTGAAAATATTTTGTTGCAATTATCAATCATACGTTTTTTCCGATCATTGTTGTAATTTTATTAAATTAAACTATAATCTTCCAATACCCCTCATCATCTACTATGGAGCATTTAACATGGTATCCATCATCTCCAAATATAGTCACTTCTTTCCTCTCTCTCTCTCCTTGAAATCCCTACTTTTCTAATATCTTTTCCGTTGTCTATCAATATTCCCCATGATATTTCCAAAAATCATCTTTGATAATTGTCAACATTAATCTTGATATCTCTCATTATCATTCCTCAACATTTTGTACGCCATCCCTCAACATATTTCCATAATGATATTTCTCAACATGATTCTTGATATATCTCAATACTGCATTAATATCTTCGGATATCGTCACTAGACCAAATATTTATTCGACTAGATCTTGTGCGAGAACTTTCTCTTCAACTACTCTTTCACATTTACTCCGTATTATGATACCTAGAACATTTTTGTCTGTAGACTAGGAACTTTGAAATCAACATATAAACGTGTTAAAGACATTTGGTCGCTTAATAGTTGAAAATCTGGAACAAAACGAGTACTTGACGAGTTGAGGTGACATAAAACAGGCCGTTAAAATGAAATGGAGATGCGGATCATAAAAACGACATTCAACTAAAGCCCGGGGTGTTTTGCGCCATTCTATGAGTTATAAAATATTGTTTTCACCGCCGCAGTTTACAATGGCGTACAAATAATTTACGAGCTGACCTTCTACTTCTGTATAGAAGTAAATTCTAGTGTTAGAAAATTTACTTCAGCGTTCTGCAAGAAGATTTTCGATACTTTTCTAACACGCGGAGGAACGGTTCAAGAATTAAGCATTCTTTTTTGAAAAAAAACTTTTTGTCTACTTGTGTAATTATTATTATAAGCTACTAACATGAAATATAAACAATAATTTAGTGCTAATTTCTTTTAGTCATTGTTATACCAATGGGAAATTTGGATATAGTCGGTTACATTAATTCAACAAATAAACAAGATTTAATTCGCTTAACGATTAAAGTTTTGGAAGAAACTTTAGCGATTGCCCAAAAGAACGGAAAAGCCGAAATTGTGGCAATTTTTGATTTAGAAAATATTAATATTAGACAATTTATATGGAAACCGGCAATCGAATTAATTATTAATTTATTACAATTATACGAAGCTAATTATCCTGAAATATTAAAAGTTTGTTATATTATTAATGGTAAATATTAACACAAAGTTTTAATTTTTTTAATATGTTGTATATAAAATGTTTTTATTTTCAAGCTCCTAAAGTATTTGCTGTGGTTTACAATATGATTAAAAAGGTGATCAACGAATATACTCAACAGAAAATTAGGATTATTTCTACGGATTCGAAAAAATGGCAACCTGCTCTTCAAGAAAATATCGATGTAGATGTTTTACCAAAACATTACGGTGGAAATGCAACCGGGCCTAATGGAGATCCTAAATGCTCAAATTTAGTAAGATTTAAATGAAAAAGAATAATTTAAAAATAATAATTATGTCTCTAGGTTAGACCCGGTGCGAAAATACCAAAAGAATATTACAAGAAAAATTACTCCGTCAACACAACAGGAAAAGATTTCGTAAAAGCTACAATAAAAAGGGGAAAGAAATTACCTTTACATTATATGATAATCGATGAAGGATGTACTTTACAGTAAGACACTTTTAAAATGGTATTTATTTTTATAACAAAATCTTCACATTGTTTCTTTTTTAGTTATCGTTTTCACACGGAAGGTCACGACATCCGTTTTGGAATTACTTACGTTGATGAAAATGAAAAAGAACATACTGTAGTTAAAAATGAAAGAGCTACGTCGAGTATGGTCGATGTAACCGGTACTATTCCGTGCCAAGCACCAGCTACATGTAAATATAAAACACATTTTTTTCTACGCTTTATAGATTTTAGCCAAAGCCTACTAGAAATACTATTAGTATTTTTAGTAGGCTTTGTTTTAGCTAAAGGTTTGATTTGCACCCACGTGACCCAAAATTTTGGGTATGACATTGGTATCAGCATTTAAATAATGCATCAACCCACATTAAAAATTTTAGAAGCTGGCGTTTTGCCCAGAATTTGTAAACCAATAATCCTTCTGCTTCAAAACCGCTCGTTTAGGAATGACTTTAGTATCTCTTGTATTGTTTTAAATTACCGCTTTATTTTGTAACTTATTCTATTAGTCCCTTAAAAATATGAGACCCCATTTCATTTTACTAGATCCTATTAAATTTAATAAAAAAAGTGACATAAAAGATGTTCAACCGACTCCTCGTCTTTCGCACATAGTCGGCATTCAAAATTGTCGGCTATGTCCAACAAGTTGAGGTGTGTCCATAATCGGCAGTGCCCAGTAAAGGCATCCATTAGAACTTTAATGCTGCTACAAGCAAGTCCTAAAATATTTCCGGGTTAGACAGTGGCGGTGTTCATAAACAACTTAACGTGTCTCATTCTAGAAGAACTGGTTCACAGTAGGCGAAGTCTCTCTTCAGCCCACGGTTTAATCCTATATTTGGCCATAGCAAATCATATACCAACTGCTAGCTCTGGCCCCAGAAACGCTTTAGCGCTGCCCTCTCGTGCTAGCTCATCTGATGCCTCGTTGCCAGCAACCCCAGAGTGACCTGGGACCCAAATCAGAGAAACTCTGTTATCACAACTCAGTGTGTTTAAAGTTCTTTTACAGTCATTAACAAGAGCCGACACCGTTTTCACAGCCTGCAACGCCTGGAGAGCGGCTTGGCTGTATGAGAAATATCTTACTCTCATGTTCTTCATCTCTCTCTTGAGAAGGATTCTAGCACCCATGTCAATAGCAAATTACCCATGCTGTAAAGCTTGCTTAATCCGAAGTGTCTGACATTATTCTCATGCCCCGACCCCTTGCGGCGTTTTTGAACCAGAAAATTTTCATTTTCGATCCAGGACTGCCGTTATTTTATACTTGGCAAGTTTACATTTTTTGTTTAAAGCTACAGTATTACAATACAGACAACTGAAATACACTAAAAGGGTCATATGATGAATCAATACCTTCAAAAATATTATAACTAATCAAATTATTACATCATGATGTGATAAAAGATAACTTACACATATTTTTTATTGATATTACAGATACAGTGACTTTTGATAACTCCTACAGTATGTTTCGAAATAAAGTTGTTAACTATTCCATTTATGTAAGCGAACCATGCCAAGAAGTTACTCTTGATGAAGATTGTGATAAGATTTGTAGTGCTGTAGATATAATGACTGTTAATTAACGTAAAAAATTCACAAAGTTAATTAATTTAATAATAATAATTTTGTTAATTAGTTTTTGTAATGAAAGGTGAAATGGGATAAATGAAATAAGCTCTCTAATTTACTTTTTAAGTATTTAAACCAAAGCATTTTTAACACTTTCATATTTTGAAATTACGTTTTAAAACATTCTACTTAACATAATATATGTAATGTTTATGTACAGGTGTTTTAAAAGATGGGATAAAAAACTGTTTTAGAAATTTAAAAATTATAAACATTCTGTATCAATGTTTTTGTTATGATAGTTTTAGAGTAATATAATGGTGAAATAAAAAATATTGTGATAAAAAATCTATTTATTATTATGTAGGTGTAAAATAAGGTAAATAAATTTTTATTTGGGATATAAAACATTTATTTTTCCTTGCTTCCTTTAATTTTATTCATCAGTAAATAACATTTCAACTAACTCTGGTTTCTCGCATTGATCACCTTGGAGTTTTTGAGGGCTATTCCATCTTAGTAATGTGGGTAAAACCATTAAATTCGTTTTTTTATCTGTACGAAATGGACATTTTGGATCTTTCCAACTAAAAAAAGGAATTATTTTATATAAAAGTAATTTTGAATTATAAATTAAATAAAATTACATTGGTCTATCGCCCACTTCAACATAAATAAAATGGGAATTTTCTGGTGCCTGCGAGAGCCCGGCTTCAATAACGGGAAGGGCTATAAAATATTATTTTTTTTTGTAAATCTTAAAAATGGAATGTTATTTACCTCGAACACAATCATCACACCAACTTTCACCATTTGGAAGCTTATTTCCACTAAAATAAACGTGAATTAATTGGCCATCAGCCTTAAATTCCTCCATAAACTTGCAAAAGTTTTCATAACCTTGTACATGATGCCGGATAACCATTTTTAAGTAAAAATTAATTATCTACAATAAAAATCTATTATTTTTATATAACTTCATTAGTATTTGACTATTTTTAATTACATTTAATGCTTAAAAAGTTGAAATTATCTTGAAAACGTATGCTAGGATAACATGCAAGTTATCAACTGATATCCCTGATATCATATAATTTATTGGAATACATTGAGGGTATTCGATTACTTTTATCTTTTAGTATAGTATAAACAAGGAAAAATAAGGTTACTTTTATTGATTTTAATAATTCTATTATATTTATTTGGTCTAGATATATATTTAAAAATAAATTAAAGGTAACCTATAAAATATAGACTTCATCAGTATTTTTAAGATAAGGATAAAGCAGGAAACTGTTATGAATATTTTTACTTTGGCGTATATTTCAATTTAAACACAGTATTTACTATATTAATATAAATACGATTTTAATATAATAAATGAATCTAAAGAAGTCGAAAATTATTAATTAAATTTAACATTTAATATATAAATAAATTACTTTTAAAAATAGATAAAGTAGAAATCTATTTTATTACCTTCTTGATGGTTGTCGATGTTTACATTTCAACTGTCAACCACTGTCAACAATGTTTTAATATGATCTTAGCTAAGGTTTTTTGTTGAGTTTTGAAGAACAATTATTATAATTTAGGTACTTAATTAACAGATATGGTATATAGAGTGATTATAAAATGATATTTTTAGGCGCAATGGGCGACAGCGACGATGAAAATGATGGCCAGGATGAAGGAGTTAACCTTACTGGGTTTCTCTTTGGATATATCGACGAATCTGGCGAGTTGGACAGCGATGTTTTCGATTATGATACTCGTAAACAATTAGCTTCACTCGGAAAGTGAGAATTTAGAGCACATTTTATCATTGTATAAAAAAATACTAAAAATGTATTTTTAGGTTAGGATTAGGTTCGATGTTAAAAGAAATGATTGATGAAAAAGATGATATGGATAGTGATGTTGAATCAAATAATAAATATGATGATGATAATTTTTCTCACGATGGTAATTTTAATTTTAATAATTGTTTACCTATAATATTTGATTTTTTCTAATTGAAGATGAAGTAAAGAAGTTAGATTTAGCTATAGATTACTCAGATATCAATGAATTAGCTGAAGATGAAGGTGGACCCTTAATCAAAATTGAAGATTACGATGGAGATGATGAAAAAATGGCTGATGACAAAGAATTAATGCCTCCGCCACCATTACCCATTAAAATGGAATCAACAAATGGTGATTATAGATTGTTGACAGAAAATGACTCGAAGAAAAAGTTAGAAACCCCATTAGCTGCTATGTTACCATCAAAATATGCAAACGTTGATGTCACTGAATTATTCCCCGACTTTAGACATGGGCAAGTTTTAAGATTTTCAAGAGTGTTTGGTCCTGGAAAACCTAGCAGTTTACCAAACATTTGGCGCAATGTTAAGAAAAAGAAGAAAAAAAGGAGAGCCAAAGAAGGTAGTACTGGTGGGCAAGAATCTGATTCTTCAACTGAAGAAGATAAACCAAAAAATAGAGGATGGCACTTTGATTATGCCCAAGTGACACCTGAACAATGCAAAAGTGATGATGAAGAAAAGTTTTTAAAACCTATCGAAGCATCTTCAGCTGAAAATAAACAGGAAGCATTGGCTAAAGATGATACAGGGCCTAAAGCTGCTGATTGGAGATTCGGTCCTGCTCAGATTTGGTATGATATGTTGGAGGTTCCTGAAAGTGGAGATGGATTTAATTATGGATTTAAATTAAAAGATTCTCAAGTAATTTTTGCAAGTTGTTAATATAGGAAAACTTCAATATAATGGACAAAATATTTTTAAGTCATACTACTAATATACAAATATATAATATAACAACTAATATAAACTCAGGGTATTTCCTGAGTTGTCTATATGATGTATAAATCTTCTATTAGAACAGGCCTTTGAGCTGTGCACCTGTTCCTGGGATGTAACAGTCCTCTTAGATTCTACCATCCTTGTGATTTTTGGCTATAACAGATACTTCCTTCCCTGTATTAGTCTGTTATATTGAGGTTTTACTGTAATAACATAAGATAAGGATTTATATTGTTTGTTATTTAGGTTGAAAAGAATCCTCCAGAACCTGTTGAAGCAGAACCATTTCCTGATGATGCATTTTTAATGGTAACACAGTTGCATTGGGAAGATGATGTTGTTTGGGATGGAAATGAAATTAAAATGAAAGTAAGTGAAGAAATGCCAAATAATTTATGAAATTCAGGGGCGATTAACTTGAAGCATGAATACATAAAATAATTTTTGATTTTATTAGGTTCTCCAGAAATTAAATTCAAAAAGTAATGCAGCTGGTTGGGTTCCAAGTAGTGGAAATAGGACTGCACAGGCATTTAGTCAACCAGGTAAAGGTGGTGCTATTCCAGGAAGTACTGTCAGAGTACCTCCAATTCCTGCTCCACCTTTACCAGGTGCCAAACCTTCAAAATCGCAGTCGTAAGTCAATATTTGCGCTTAAATCTGTTTAATTGATAGAAATAAAACTTCGTACTCTTTACGAATTATTTCTTTAGATTACTTCCTAATAAACAAAGACAAGAACAGGAACAAGATGATACATGGTACTCAATTTTCCCTGTAGAAAATGAAGATTTAGTTTATGGGAGATGGGAAAACGACGTTATTTGGGATGCGGAAAACATGAATCAAATCCCAAAACCATCAATATTAACTTTAGATCCTAATGATGAAAACATAATTTTAGGAATTCCTGATGATATAGATCCATCAAAACAAATTGCAGGTCAACCAACACCTGTTAAAGTTAAAATTCCGCATCCTCACGTCAAAAAATCGAAAATTCTGCTGGGAAAAGCTGGAGTAATTAATGTTTTACAAGAGGATACTCCTCCACCTGCACCAAAGTCTCCAGATAGAGATCCTTTTAATATTTCGAATGATATGTAAGAAGGAAATTTATCAATTAAAGCAAAACGAATTTAATAATGAAATTTTTAGATATTACATGCCAAAATCATCAGAAACCACATTACGATTAAAAGTTGGAGGTGGAAATCTTATTCAACACTCAACACCTGTTGTTGAATTAAGAACACCGTTTATACAAACTCATATGGGCCCAATGCGTTTAAGAAATTTCCATCGCCCACCCATGAAGAGGTTTTCACATGGACCTTTGGCTTCACCTGGTCCGCATCCAGTTAATCCTTTATTAAAACATATTAAGAAGAAAGCTAAGGTTATTATTTTTATTTAATACATTTGGAGTTAATAATTAATCAAGTACTTAATTATATGTTTTTTATTTTTATTTGTATTTAGCAACGAGAAGCTGAAAGATTAGCATCTGGTGGTGGTGATGTATTTTTCATGCGCACAGCTGATGATTTAACAGGGCGTGATGGAGATTTAATTCTAGTGGAGTTTTGTGAGGAGCATCCACCACTTATTAATCAAGTAAGTTTTTATCCTAGATGAATTGGTAACTTACCCATATTTTTATTTTATTAAAGTCAAGAAACATTGTTTATTATGGTATGAATTTTAATTTATTATTTAAATTTTAAGGTGGGAATGTGCTCAAAAATAAAAAATTATTACAAAAGAAAAGCTGGAAAAGATACTGGACCACCTACATATAAATATGGTGAAACTGCTTATGCTCATACATCCCCATTTTTGGGAATTTTGTATCCTGGACAAAGTATCCAAGCGGTTGAAAATAATATGTATAGGTAAATAAAAATTAAAATAATTTTTTTATTGAAATGGTTTACTACTTAATTGATTTATTTTAGAGCTCCAATTTATGAACATAAAATCCCAGAAACAGATTTCTTAATAATAAGAACAAGACAACAATATTACATAAGAGAAATTGATGCTCTTTATTGTGCTGGCCAAGAATGTCCATTGTATGAAGTACCAGGTCCCAATTCGAAAAGGGCCAACAATTTTATACGAGATTTCCTACAGGTAAATTTCGTCCTATAAAAACGATTCTTTATAACCAATTTATTTGTTTTAGGTATTTATATACAGGTTATTTTGGAAAAGCAGAGATAACCCGCGTCGTATAAAAATGGACGATATCAAAAAGGCGTTCCCCTCGCATTCCGAAAGCAGCATAAGGAAACGTTTGAAATTGTGCGCTGATTTTAAAAGAACTGGTATGGATTCGAACTGGTGGGTGATCAAACCCGAATTTCGACTTCCAACCGAAGAGGAAATTCGAGCGATGGTCTCGCCCGAGCAATGTTGTTCGTTCTTTAGTATGGTAGCCGCCGAACAACGATTAAAAGATGCCGGATACGGCGAAAAATTTTTGTTCACACCCGCAGAAGACGACGACGAAGAAATGCAACTCAAAATGGATGACGAAGTCAAAGTAGCACCTTGGAACACTACAAGGGCTTACATTCAAGCAATGAAAGGAAAATGTTTATTACAATTAACTGGCCCTGCTGATCCTACAGGATGTGGCGAAGGATTCAGTTACGTTAGAGTTCCAAATAAGCCAACAGTAAGAAGTTTTAAACGAAATTTTGAGTTAATCTTAAAAAGAAATTTGTTTTAGCAAAGCAAAGAAGAGCAGGAATCCCAACCAAAAAGAACCGTAACTGGAACAGACGCTGATTTAAGAAGACTCTCATTAAATAACGCCAAAGCTTTATTAAGAAAATTTGGAGTTCCCGAAGAAGAAGTATTAAACTTCACTTTGTTGTTATTATTTGTTAAGAAGTATTATTATTTTGTATTGTAGATTAAAAAATTATCTAGATGGGAAGTTATTGATGTCGTTAGAACATTATCAACAGAAAAAGCTAAAGCAGGCGAAGAAGGAATGGATAAATTTTCAAGAGGAAACCGATTTTCGATCGCTGAACACCAAGAAAGATACAAAGAGGAATGTCAAAGAATATTCGACTTGCAAAATAGGGTTTTGGCAAGCGCGGAAGTTTTGAGTACTGATGAAGGTGAAAGCTCTGAGGAAGATAGCGATGAAGATATCGAAGAAATGGGAAAGAATATTGAGAATATGTTGGCTAATAAAAAAACAAGTACTCAAGTAAGTAAAAAATATAAAATTTAAATATTAAATATATTTAATAACATTTCGCTATTTTAGTTATCACGTGAAAGAGAAGAACAAGAACGACAAGAGCTTAAAAAAATGATTATGGAAAGTGGTGATGACAAAAAAGGCAAAGATAAAAAGATAAAAGAGGAAGATGATAACCCAGATAACGTAAATTACGCTCAACAAGGTTTCTATTTTTAGTTCATCTTTTTATGTATTTTATTTAAAATTTTATTTATTAGGTCGTGTATTAAAAATTATAAGAACCTTCCGAGATCCAGAGGGAAAAGAATACACCCGTGCTGAATACGTTAGAAAAGCAGCTGTAATCGACGCGTACGTAAAAATAAGAACAACTAAAGACGATCAATTCATCCGACAATTTGCGACATTGGATGAAGCCCAAAAAGAAGAAATGAAACGGGAAAAACGTCGTATTCAAGAACAACTTAGAAGGATTAAAAGAAACCAAGAAAGGGAACGTTTGGCTTTAGGTGGTAGTCATAGTACGAATTCTAATTCTCTTGGAAGTAGAGAGCAATTAGATATAAAACCCATCACTTTAGAAGGTTTCCCATTTTTGTTTTTCTCTTATATTAAAGATAAAACAAAATAAAATTTTAGGTCCGTCTACACCACATCCTACACCAAGTACAAGTAAACCTTTATTATCGCCACCGAAATCTCGTCGAAAAACAAAATTAAAACCAGATTTAAAATTAAAATGCGGCGCTTGCGGTAATGTTGGTCACATGAGAACTAATAAAGCGTGTCCTTTGTATCAAAACAGCGGATCCACGATTCCATTAAATGTAGCTATGACGGAAGAGCAAGAAGAAGAAATTGAAAAGCAATTAAATACTGACGATGAAGATTTAGTTAATGTTGATGGGACGAAAGTTAAGTTATCCGGTAAAGTTCTTAAGGTAAGTTATTAATTATTTAAAGATTAAAATTGTTATGAAATTTTAATTTTTTAGCATGCTGAAGAAATAAAAAGAAAAACATTATTACTAAAGGTGCCAAAAGATGCAATGGGAAATAGAAAAAAACGTCGAGCAACATCGGACCTTCATTGTGATTATTTAAAACGTCATAATAGGCCAGCTAATAGAAGACGAACGGATCCTGTTGTTGTTTTATCAACAATTTTAGAAAGTATACTAAATGAATTAAGAGATATGCCTGATGTTCAACCATTTTTATTCCCTGTTAATCCAAAAGTAAGATTTTAATTTTATTATAAATCTGTTTTGATTTTAATTGAAATTTTTGACTTATAGTTAGTAATGGATTATTATAGAATAATACATAGACCCATGGACCTTCAAACTATAAGAGAAAATCTTCGCCAGAAAAAATATCAAAGTCGCGAAGAATTTTTAGCAGACGTTAATCAAATCTTGGAAAATTCTACTTTGTATAACGGTGTAAAAAGCAGTTTAACAATGGCCGCGCAAAGAATGTTAGATAAATGCGTGGAACGTTTAGCTGAGAAAGAAGATCGTCTGATGCGACTCGAGAAAGCTATCAATCCTTTACTAGACGATGACGATCAAGTCGCTTTAACGTTTATATTAGATAATGTAATCAACACTAAACTAAAAACGATGCAAGAATCGTGGCCATTCTTGAAACCGGTTAATAAAAAATTAGTAAAGGATTATTACAACATAATAAAAAGACCAATGGATTTGGATACAATTGCGAAAAAAGTTGCAACCCACAAATATCATAATCGACACGAATTTTTAGTTGATGTTCAACAAATTCTTGAAAATTGTACTTTGTATAATGGAAAAGATTCGCCGTTTACACAAAAAGCAGAGTTATTGGTTAAAGTTTGTAAGGTTACATTAGATGAGGTTAGTTTGAGGTTAACTTGTATGATGTTGTATTACTATATATAGTAAAACCTCGATATAACGGACTAATACAGCGAAGGGAACACTAGACCTAGAAATATTCGGGTTTAGTCGTGCGTCTCTTTTCGTTCAATAAAAATATAACGTTCTACGAGGTCTGCTATATCTACAGTGTGTTAATTAATTATCCTATCCGACGTCATCATTGCAAGTATGCAACCAATATCGCAAAACGCGTATTGCAATACCGATACTGTGATGTTGGTTGCATACTTGCAATGATGACGTCGGGTACGATAATTAATTAACACACTGTATGCGTTACTGTTCTACAATGCATTTCAAAAGTAACGGATAAATTCGATAAAGTTATAAACAATTTATGAAAAAAGTCTAAAGATTTAAATTTTTTAATAAATTTAAAATATACACCAACAAATTTTAATATTTCAGCGATTTTTTCATAAATTGTTTGTAATGATTTTATCCGTTACTTTTGAAATGCACTGTATATTTAATTTATATTTTTTAGTATGATGAACATCTCACCCAATTAGAGAACAAGGTCTCTTTAGCTCAAGAAAGAATATTACAAGATGATGATCAAACGTGGATGGGGGGAGATGAAGAAAATTACACTATAGCTGAACCAGATCGAGCAAGTCAAACAAGTTCTCCAGATTTACATAAACTTCATTCAGAAGATATGGAATATGTTGATGTTGAAGGTGCCGCAATCGATGATCCAGACAGTTTACAACCGAAAATTCGTAAAGGACGTGGTAGACCTAAGAAGAAAACGGCAGCAACCCTTGAAGAAGGTTAATCATAACATAATTCAATTACAACAAATACTATTTTTTTTTATTTTATAGATTTACAATTTTCAAGTGAAGAAGAATTAGATGAAGTTCCATTAACTGAATTTGAAGATACTAAAGCGGGAATTTTAATTGATGCGGAAATGCCGGGTGCTGATGATGACAGTCAACAAGCTGCTGAAGCTATGGTGCAATTGGGTACAATGGGTTATTACCATCAAACTGATGGAGATGGTGAAACTGAGGCTCTAATCTATAAAGGTAAATGTTTGTATTATTTGAAACAAAAATACATGTTTTTTTTGTAGAAGAAAGTCTTGATGTTGATCCAAATTACGATCCATCAGACTTTTTAATGGCGGGATTACCACAACATCGTCAATTAGAACCAATTAAAGAATCTACTTCTGATCCGGTCTATTTAACAATTAAAGATGATTTAGCTGTTAGCGAAAGCGATGAAGATTTAACCAACTTAAATTCATCACAGCCAATACAGGAAGATGATGACGTTGGGGATGTTTGGTTTTAATGAAAACTATAATTAATATTTTTTGTTTTTGTTACAATAACTTTATATTAAGTAAGAAATCTTTACACTTAATAAGATTGAAAAATAGATTTGTTGTTTTATTGCATTCGTAAGGCACCATCTAATCTTATCACTTCACCATTTAGCATTGGATTTTCAATAATTGATTGAACCATTTGAGCAAATTCTTCCGGTTTACCTAATCTATGGGGGAAAGGGACGCTTTTACTTAAGAAATTGATTGCTTTTTCAGGTAATTTTTCTAATAATGGTGTCCAAAATAAACCTAAAAGAAATGTTGATAATTCACATTACTCATTATAATGCAAAGAATAACCTGGAGCGATTGTAACAACTCGAATTCCTTGTGGCGCTAAATCCCTAGCTAAAGGTAAAGTCATAGCAACAACAGCTCCTTTACTTGCAGCATAAGCTGCTTGACCAATTTGTCCATCATAAGCTGCTATTGAAGCTGTGTTTACAACAACGCCTCTTTGTCCTTCTGTATTTGGTTCATTTTCGCCTATTAAACCCACTGATAATCTAATCACATTGAACATGCCAATTGTATTGACCTATTTTGGTAGTATTTAAAATAATTAAATGAAATTGTTAAAACATAAATAACATACATTAATAACTTTTGCATAATCTTCTAAAGTATGTGCTTGCTTTTTATTAAAATTATAAACTTTAAATGCAGTTCCAATTCCAGCACAATTAATGCAATTATCCAATTTACCAAATTTTTGTTTTGTAATATCTAAAGCTGATTTAACATCATTTTCTGATGTGACCTAAATAAAAAAAAATTATTACCACTCAACTATACTTAAAAAAGACTTACATCAATAGGGGCAAATACAACTTTATCTTCGCCCCCTAATTCTTTGGCCACTTCATTTCCTTTAGAACCGGGGAGATCGCATAGTACAACACGACCACCTTGTTGAATTAGCCGTTGAACCGTGGCTTTTCCTAAACCAGAAGCGCCTCCAGTTACTAAAGAAACAGTCCCCTAAAAAGAACATATTAAAAACTTAATGTATGTTGTTTTATTAAGAATAACTCTATTAAAGTTTACCTTTAACATGATGAGATGATTAAATTCAGTAATTTTTGACGTGAATGGTTATTTATAAATGTTGAATAACAGATAAAGAGCAAAGGAATGACCTGTTTTGTGTAAACATGCAGGGCAAAGGTGTGTTTAAAAATGTACAATCAGTTTTTAAGTGAGGTTAGAATAGCTATATAGGCAACTTAAAATGCATTAAATTGTAAGATTTGTTTAAATAAAATCTAGTAATTATATTTAGTAATATTTATTACATTAATTGTCCAATATAATCAGATCTTTTTAATTTTTGTTGCAATTTGGGCCATTGAACAACTATATTATCAGCAAAGTACATAAGTATTTTTCCAGTTAATGAGAATGTTTCGGTTCGACAAAAACTTTCAACAAATACAATTCTACATTGACTTAAAAAGGCTACTTTTAATAGAAAAACTAAACCACAAATAGGAATGCATGTTCCTGGTCCATTACAAAGTACTACATCAGGGCGTATTTTTAAAATTAATGGAATACAATACAATATAGAATATAAAGTAGAAAATATTGATGTTATATATGATTGATGAACTTCCCTACTTCGGGGTACCTTATAAATTGTATAACTACCTTCATTAAAGGTACTTTCAAAATGTTTGATTTTCTTATAAGTAGTTGTATCGGTTTTTGCAATAATGTAAGATCTGGGTGTATATTTTTTAAAGTCTAATCCTTGAATTAAAAGTAACATTTCTGTTGTATGTCCACCAGAACCCATACATATTATTGTTTTAGCTGGATGTGTTCTTTTTTTATCTGTTAATTTCGTATGTCCTGTTGTTACTTTATGAATTACATACATTACTCTGGTTATTACTAATAATATCAATAAGATGATTATTTCAATTATTGGAATATCTAAAAAATATGTACTCTGTAGATAAAACTTCATTATGATTATGATATTTATACCTGAATTCGCCATTTTTATACAGTTTTAATGTATTTCTTACAAATTTAATGACTAGTTTTCGTTTAAAATGAGATTTGTTATCTTTGGTATTGATTTCATTAAATTTTTTAGCAAAACATATTTTTGCTGAGGTTAACATAACCTATACTATGAACGTATCAGAACGTATCCTCCCGCAAAGGCCTTGCTGTGACGTCATTGGAAGGATTGACACACAGAACCATCGAGATACATATAATTTACTGGATTCGCCAGCATGTTCCCCCATAACGGCAAGAAATACAAATAGTACTAACTATACTCTGTTTTTAAACCAGGAGGAGTAAACGCGAAAGTCAGATTTACACTAGGAAAAATCACCAGAAAATACCACTAGATATTTTGGCGGTAAATTTAAATTAATAATTATTATTATTTATTTATTTACTTATTATTGTATTTATTTTCGTTTGTTATCGTCAACACTAAACATACAAATTAACATTGAAGTTATGAGTGTATTTATTTCAAAATATAATAAAAAAGGGTTTAAGAACACAAAATATACAATAATGACACGAAACTGTCGAATT